GCGATATTCGATCAGATGAGACTTGTTGCCAAATCAGAGGCGAAGAAAAGTCGTTAGGTGGATGAGGTGAAGTCGAGTTAGAGCAAAAAAACAGACAACCATGAGACCGGAGTCATCAGTCATAATAAACGTTCAACTGAACAGAGATGAATGATCGTTCGCGAAGTAACGATACGATTACGATGATGATAATCAAACTGACCTAGGGCGCATGTGTTCAAGACAGCCAGAAAGGAAACGGAACCCATGAAGTTCAAACTATGCATACATCTGAACAGAGCAAAACACAACACACAGTATAAGTACACCTCAAGTTCGATGAAGAGTGAAACTGACAGACATTAGGTGCGGTTGGGGCACGGCAATATCTGCCAATGACTTGTTCTTCGTTCAGGCATTTTTTGGTAAAATACTTGTGCAAATGCTTTCCGAAAAACTTCTGCGATCAGACACACTATTAGGTTACCTGTCCATTCTGAGCAGGACAGGTCAGTTGGCAATGCCTATTAGTAAATTCTTCATCCTATCACTGAAATGAAACGTTCGGGTATTGGATTCTCTTAGACAAACCGAACAGTAATGAATGACGGGAGGGAGAGTGCATGCAAAAAATGAGAATGAGCTTTCGGGGCCGGGTGAGCTCGTGACTATGTGGAACAGTGAGGAGGGGGGGGGGGGGGAGACGGGCAAGGAAGAGGTGGACAGACATATAGATTTGACGGAGGTAGAAAAAATGAGATTAGCAAACTGAATGAAAAGGCGAGGCACATGCTTATCCACTGATGGACGCGCAGTGATAAATCGTGCTACCACACAGGCTCCTATTGACTGATATCAGTCTTGATATCAATATTACTAGTACTAATTTCGCACCTATCGTCACCCGGTGGAGGACAAACAGTCACAATAGGACTGTTGGGCCGAGAGGGCGGGGGCATGGGAGAGGAGGGGGAGAACACAAGGTGGCAAAGGAAAGACAAAGAGAGATAATAACTGAATAAATTGAATCAAGCGAACACCTTAGACGGTTACTGTTGCGACAAACGTGTGTGGTCAGTCAAATGCCGTTACTCGAAAGGTCAACAAACTGGCGGAGATGACCGAAGGTCGCAAATCATTACTACTACTACTACTACTAACAATAATGAAAATAATACTTATGTCATTTAAGGACAAATCAAGTGGGACATTCAGGGCAGTATTCAAGCGAAGTTGGCCACCAAATTATCGATGCTGAGGTCGCGTGTTGAACCTCATCAGTACCATGGGACTTAAATACAATAATCTGCCGTGGAGTGACCATCCTTCAGACTAAATTTCTCCGCACAATCCTCAGTTCATTCAGTCAACCATCTTCGCGGGAAAGCACTAGACTCGAGTTTCGCTCTTATTAGAGTTCAACAGTAGTGCATAGTCACCGTCTCGTGCGAGCTTTGAAAACTGGACTCATTGCATAGCAGTCGTGTGTTATTATTGTGTTAACTAGCTCACACAGGGACTGACTAGCAATGCCAATTCATGTTTTTTACTACACACATTTCTGTGGTGTGCAGACGGAAAGAAACGCATAGTCACGAAGACCTACTGATCCTTCACGGAAACCGGTTACCTAAGTTCCGAGACTTGCAGTGGGGAACCATATAAGGCCCCGATAGGTTAGGCGTGGTATTGAACCGGACGACAACAAAACCGTCTATCACCAAAGTTGGGTGGCGGTGGCGGGGCTCGAACCTCGGACCATAGGGTTCAAAGCACGCCGGTGACAGCGACTAAACCACTGAGCTACCACCACTCCTATGGAGTTGTGGATTTGTAAAAGACAGTCAAAATCTGCACTGGATACTGAACATGATATGAGCTCTCAAGGCAGGTGGTCACACANGAGATGGAACAAATGATACATCAGCAGGACTCATTAGGAAGAGTAAGAATAACAGAGTTTTGGCAAATTAAGCGTGCCCAATTATGCCTTACTAAACCCAAGTTGCGGATCAGAATCTATCTTAACAGAGAAATCACTCTTTGGTCATCAGCAGAACTGATAAAGAGACAACGGGACTGTGCTCATACGAATTAAACTGCGCGCAACACGATGTACACACAATCTGCGCAATGCATTCATTTCACGCCTCGGGGTATAACCCAAAACAATCCATTAAATGATGAGGTCCACCGAGTGAAGAGTCACACGAGAAGACCAAGCAGGCAGAACAGGTGTGTCACACAGAAACACAAAACAACAGAACGCCACATAGACCTACATGGTGAAACCATTTCAGATTCGCTTCGTTGGGCAGTGTGGTAGATAAGTGATTGATGTTCCAGGCTCTTGATCAACGGTAGTCATGAGCTCAAACACCATCCTCATTTGGTTAGTGCTGCTGGAGGTCTCAAATGGTTTGCAATCAATACTAGAAAACTGTCGATGTTGAAACCTCACAAGAGGCTCCTGTAAATGCCAGGATTTAACCATTATGCAAAGCAACTGATATTTAATGTGCCCCCTTAGCAATACGTACATGCAAAAAAGACAATAAAGCAACACCGAATGAGTTGACAAATCAGCTATTCGATAAGGATGTCAAGGCTGAGATCGAAAAGAATAGACGTATGTCTATACTCGTACCTTTTGTGTCTAATGGTCCGGGTGACAGTTATGTTTCCTACACGCATAATCGTAAACATGTATTTATGTGATTCCAGCATTGTCTCTCTCCCTCGTGACTTTCCAACATGTTATTAAACGGTATATGGTAAAAAAAGAGTGGAACCCATAATTACGAGAACCCACTGCCAGATAAGCATGACCAGAAACATTGGGATTCAAGATCGAAGTGGGAACTTCACAAGACGCCAGTTTGAAAAGTGAAGTGGACGTGCGGCTCAATTATCCAATTAGACGG